TTATTCATATTTTGCCTCTGGCTTTGGGTCTCATTTTTATGTCACTGGCGCTCTTAGACAAATTCTAGAGGTACCAATACATTGCTGTTTGTTCTTGGGCCAAGTTCAATACTGGAGGGGCTCCATCATCTACAGTGAAATGACACCATAGTTTAAACTGGTCCCTTGCACATTATTTTCTTACTGGTGAATTGTTCAGGGTTTGTTTGGAGGTGGGGGGGGGGTTGTTTTATTTTGTTGTTTGGGGTTTTTTGGTAGGTTATAGGTTTTTGATGGTCCCTGACTTCATTTCATTTGAAGATATCAAACAAACTCTTTTTAAAAAGTTTGACTCTCTTAAAGCCAGACTTGTTTCAAGTTCCACTTTCTAGCTCTGTTTTAAGCCATTCATCCCATGCTGAAGACAAGGGAACTTGGATTTGATCACTATATTAAAAAGCACAAACTATAGGTTTGAACCTACAACGTGTGTAGTAGTGGGGAAAGTATCAGGCTTCATGCAGCCTACTGGAGTATCTGCTCCTGCTACTGACTTTAACAATGAAGGCTCTTGGACACTGTGCTGCAGGACAGCGGTACCAAGTCCAGGTATGGATGTAACGAAGTGTGGTGATTCAGAACCACGTGCATAAGCTTTCATCTGGATAACAAATAGGAACGACACAGTAGAACTGGGCTCATTCATATCTGGGTGGTTTTCAGTAGGCTATCAGATTAAAGATGAGCCACTCAACTGTTTGCTACAGTTTTTGCTTCAAAGAGCTCCACTCCTCCAATCAGCTGCAGCTCAAATCATGGCAGAAGCAGTGCCCTTTGTTATACCAAACTGCTGAAACAAATCAACAGCCCAACACAGCTGTTTAATGCAGCCATACATCCCCTCCTATCCCCCACCACCTAATTTGTAAAACCTTCCTGTTCACGGGGTGCAAAGCATTGGGGGTTGACTATGTACTAGTCAGCTTCAGAGATATGTTGCTATAGATCTCTTCCTAAAGTTTTTGCAGTGCATAGGACATTGTGGAGTTTTGCTATTCTCCCAGGAAGACTAAACTATATGAACATCATCATTGTTCGTATTTTATTGCAGAACTAGAAATCACAAGCATTTCTACTAGAGAGGAATTCAAGTTAAAAATGTGGATATCACTGCTGAGTTCCAACATCCCCAAATTCAAAATCTTTCGGATCTAAGGATCATCATCCAAATTCATTCTAGGTAAAAGGGCAGTTTCAATCTCTCACCCGTGCTGTACCTCAGAACAATGTAGATAAGCCAAATTCAAATACACAACCAAGTGCCATGGCCCAACAAAGAATCCAGAGGATCAGTATGTGAACCATGTATTTTGAAAGTACTTATTACATAAAACCCTCCTAGCCGCTTCTCGTGTTTGCATGCACGTTTCTTCTTATTAAGTAATATAATTAATGGAGCCGTATATGAAATGAGAAGCGCATCCAGCTGCCCATTTCCTTTCCCATATTCCCTGCGCACAACTGATAAAAATGTTCTCAAGCATTCTCTTTGGCTTGCAGTACTGAAATGTTCTTGCAGTATGTGGCTTAAGTGAAATAATCCAATAATTAAATTAAGTCAGTGGGGCTTCAAGCAATACAATATTTGGATGTCTGGTACCACAGTTGCTTGCATGGAGCAATCACAATAGTTTTTGCAAATGAAAAAAAAGGACAAAGACAAGGCTCGCCGACAGAACTTTTCCTTTATAGATTAGCATGATCACCCCTCTCCTAGAACCTAGCTAATCTGCTCACAAACAGTCACACAGAAATAGCAAACAGAATTATCTGATAGTGATATGAAATCTTTTGGACCAAAGGAGCCCAAAGCACTTTACAAATGGAAACCACTCTATATGGAATTTCTAAGGCCTGCATAAAAAAGGTTGGAGGTTCACCTAAGCCTATTGTCCATTAGGTCAGCATGACAATGTCCGCAAGGTTAACATCAAACCCACCTGAATTTGAATCCCCTTTGACTCTACATATTCTTGCCTGTGGAAGAAACCATTGCATTTGAGATGCTTACAAATTCATTGCTATTCCTTCAGAGCATGCTGCTGCTACCTCAGCTGTTGTTCAAGAAAAGTCAGAAGAGAAGGTGCAAAAGTAGCTCATAACTACCTCGCCTGAATCAAGCACAACTCTGATATAGCAGAGCAAAGCAGAACATCAGTCTGTTTGATCACCTCCTTTTTCTCTCAGAGGCAACCCAGGCAGCAGATCTGTGACCATTCCTTTGTTTCCCAGACATTATTAAGTTGTAGGTATTACCAGTGCCTAAAAGTGGGAAATCAAAGCGGGAGCCAGATCATCACCCAGAACAGGAAGTAGAGGTGGTAGCAGATTGAGAGCTGTGAACTATTTCTTTCTTTTTATGGCAACATCAGATATTTGACTTCCTGATATGTTTTTATATATATTAAAACTTAGTGGCTGAATAGGATCTTCTGAGCTCTGTGGAACCAAAATTGTTTTAATGTCAGTATCTCAAATTGCAGCAACCTGGTTTCTTAATGAAGAGGTGTATTTGAAACTCCCGTAGTATGGGTATGATCCAGAACCCATCAAACTCAATGAAAAGACTTTTATTGACCTCTGAACACTTTACCACAGGTCCAGTCCTATCAGTGCTCCTTCTGTCTATACTTGAAGGAGGGAATGGAAAGAAAATGAAATGGGAAGCCTTTCCATCAGGGTATGAACTCACTACTCACTCAGCTGTGACTTGCCACTAGAGACCTGGTGAGCAGGGAGGCCTCTTCCAACCCTACTTCTCTACAATTCACCCATCCCTCCCCTGCTGCAGCAGCACCATTTGAGACTGCAGGGAGGGGAGGGAGGCAATGGGACCCCTCGAGAGCAAGGCTGAGGGACTTGGCAGGGGGGTGGGGGGCTGTGCAGGAAGGTTGCTGCCTAACCAGGTCCTGAAGCTCAAGTGCTGTGGGCTTGCTGTCACACACACTGGGTACGTCTCCAGCTCACATGCATCCCTCAGGCTGTCCCCAACTCCTGGGCAACATCAGCCTGAGGAAAACTCAGCTGCTCCCCTGCCTCTCTCTCCCCTTCCCACCTTTGCCCCTCAGCTCTGGCCTGCATCCACCCCTCCCCACCCTCCTTCTTTGGTGCCCCCAGGTCAGCTGGAGGCAGCCTAGTAACACACAAGGTGAGCAGACAAGCACCCCTGGGCCTGGCAGCGGCAGCAGAGCCAGCAGCAGTATGCACAGAGCTGGGGCCAGGGGCGGTGGTGGCAGCAGTGGCTGGTGCAGGCAGCTCCCCTCCAAATAGGCTTCAATCCACAGCTGGGAATGGAGACTGCCTGCAGCCAGCTCCTGTATCCACAAGGGTAGTGACAGAACCCTGTGCCCACAGCCTGACCCCACCCCATAATTTTTTGGGGCCCCCTGAAAGATATAGTTTTGGGGCCCCCTGATGCTATGAAGCCAGTGGTGGCAGTGGTGTTGGTGGGGGGGGGGGGCAGCCACGAAGCCAGTGGCAGCGATGGCAATGTGGAGTGGTGGCAACCACCCGGCCCCCTTGCTACGGCACTGCTTTGGAGTGCTCACTGCTGCAGGGGGCCCCTTGGCTGCACGTTCTGCAGGATAGGGTTGGTCAGCCCTGCTCCACCCACAGCTGCTCCATCCCAGAGTAGTGGCTTCCCAAGCTGCAAGCTGCCCACCACCCCACATCAGCCACTGCTAACTCTCACCAAACTGTATGTGGATCAGGTGCATGGAGCGGGATGCTGTTGGAGTTGTGGGGCTGGAGCTCAGGGATTGCTGGAGCCTGGATGGGTTTGGGAGCTTTCTGGGGTTGGCAACACTCTCCTCTGCTCCCCAGGGCTGGCAGGGGGACATGGGGTCCAGTAGTGGCCACCCACCCAGATACGCTCAGTGCCAGTGTGAAAGGTATGCTGGGCCACCATTTCTGAACCAGGGGGCTTAAGGCTGAGGGAAATATTCCCTGGACCACTCCACTAAGCAACCACGGGTGTGACAGACCACAGAACAGGAGGGTGGGGGAGGCCACTACATCCTGGAGTACTGGAGAACTTCAACTTGCATGGTACATCTGTGAGGTGTGACCATGTTAATGGAACAGGAGCTGGGTTGTGCAGGTCAGAGATAATCCTGCTCTGGAGTGACGTAACTTTGAGCTGCATAACAAGTGCTTTAAGCCACTTAAAAGTGTTAACGCGAAGCCAGTCTAGGAGTTAAGAGCTCCAGAAGACACCCACAATTAACGTGTAACAAGGCTGTTAGTCAATTCTATCCTGGGGCAGCCGTTCCCTCAGTGTAAACTTGATCATCTGCCACGCAGGACATCTTTGTATGTGCCCCAAGGTGGGCGCTTTAATTAGAGAAGCTCTGAAGAGCCGCTGTAATTAAAGCACTTGCAATTTCTTGTGTATTCTCACAAGAATGGCTGGGGGCAGGGGCAACTTTAACTAAAGTACATTTGATGCTCTTTAGTTAAAACACCCCTGTTGCCATGTTGAAGTGCAGGGTAACTGAATACATGTGATGCTGAGGCTGCTGGAGCATGCTAACTTTACTAATCAAGTCTGCTCTGATGTGTGCTAATTAGCATGTGTTGGAGCAGGCATTGGGCATGTGTATAGGTGCCCTACCTCCTACTAAGGGCAGTCAGCTTGTTTGTCCATTGACTACAGAGTAAATTCTGGGTTAAATTACTCGGTGGCAATATTCTCATGCGTCTTCCTTCTAAGATAGTCAACATGTACCTTTTAAATTTGCAGTGCTCACATGGTGAATACTTTTGTGTAACATTTCCCCTGTGACTGAATATTCATGACTCCCTTTGAAATCAATAGCAACTTGGTTATTCAGTAATCGTAACCAGCTTGAAAAAGCTTGCGTCCCTCAGGCTATGAGGCTGAAAAAGCCTGATCCAAAGTGCAGTGAATGTAATAGAAAATCAGTCTCAAATAAATTTGAACCATCCCAAAATGTATTGGCTCTGGTACTATCTGAACTCATGTCCCTCAAGGGATATACAAGGTCAGCAGACCGCCCTTTGAGGTAGGCCATGTCCAGAAGAGGGCAGATGACTGATACCAAACCAGAAGCAATCCTGTCCTTTCAAGCTCTAGTTGTTTTTGTGTGTTTGATCTCACTAACAACTTCTTTCAAAGACTAATATTGATTCCTCTTGTTTTTAATTTAGTTACTTAATTTTAGTATTAGGCAGCATGTGCCCATGGGAACAGGCCATCTCCAACTGAAACCTAAGGTGAGAGATTTCAATTATATTATTTTCATGTTTGCAGAAACATTAAATATCTGTTGAACGTTGCACTTGCATATGCACAGCAAAGTACAATTTAAGCAAATCTGCTCCCATAATTAATTTACTTTAATTAGAACAGGGTGTCAGATCAATTGCTTGTTTTTTATGGCCCGGCATAAAAATCTATATTTAATCTCCCTATTGTTAGCTGCCGTTGCTCTCTCTAATTATTTATTTTTATAGAAATCTATAGTTCGTCTGGATGAGAAAAATTAAGAGAAACAGATTTTTTTTTTAAATTTAAAAATAGGTTAATCTGTTGATTTCCAGGAAGTAAAGGTATATTGGTCTGGGATTCACAACTAGGTAAGATCGTTAGAGCCCTATCAGTTTTAATGGTGCCACAGAGCTTTGCTCTCGCTGTGGTTGCAAGCCAAATCTTCTGAAGGGTGACCATCACAAATGTGCTTGAATATCCCACAGTGTACATGTGATTGATAATGCTTCTCAGTGCTCTTTGCTGAAATGACAACTCGTGGCTGGAAACATACACAGCAGTGAACAAAAGGGCCCAATTCTAGGACATGACCCCTGAAATAGGGTCAGCTTTGTGTACTCTCGTGTAGAAGAAGACCAATTGCATAACTGCTCTCTACACAGCATTACTGACAGGAAGAATCAATACTGACATGGTGAGATTACAAACAGCCCCATCTATTTTATCATATAGACACACGTAAAGCCTACATCTAGATATACTTTGCTCTTCTATTTGGATCTGGTGGCCTCTGCAATGGAAAACAGGGAGTCCCATTAGAGGGCTCTTGAGACATCAACCAATTCCTATATACAACACATAGGCTTCAAGGTCTCTTGAAGTAAAATAATACAGGAAACTTGGGTGACGAGGTGAATTTCTTTTCAACCAGGTTGAGGCAAAATTCTCAAGTGAGACCCAAGCCCAAATGCTACAGTTGCACCAGCAAGTACGTGTGCTTGCTGTTTGATAAGTAAAAATCAAGGGCTGCATACTGTTTCTCCCACTAGATATCTAGAGTCAGGTCTATCTGCTTAAAACCCTACTTTGCTTTGATTGCAAAAGTCAGACATGTCTTAACAGGACTCATATGAACTAGGCAGCTGATCATGTATGTGAGTAACATGAGATCTTCCTCCTCCTCGAATAGCCTAGTAGTTAATGCAGTGACCCAAGACCTCAGAGATCAAGGTCACAGAATGGCTTAGTCCTCAAGTTAAGGGGCCAACTATGAGCACCGTCCACCCTCCCCACTGGGCAGCTAAGAGGGGAAGAGCCAGAAGGAAAGCCTCAGGGATTCAAGTAAAGTGGAACAGGACACCTATTCCCGAGATGCCTAAATCCACTTGCATGCCTAATAGGTGGACAAAGATCTGGCCTTAGAAGCCTAGTAGAGCTGCCACATGGGGGAGTTGCTCCGTTAGCTCAAGCAGTAGCCGTGCTTTCAGCACTGCATGTTCACAGAGTTGATCCATAGTTGGGTGGGGAAAATCATTGCCAGCATACTGAAAAAACAGCAGGTGAAAGTTATGGAAATGTAGCCCTTCATTTATTCCCTCACATTTTTGGCTACCAGCTTCCCAGAGTCCTTGATAATAAATTACATTTTTTTTCCTTAATTGATTTTTTGCACTGATCCCAACTGGCAAGCAACTATTTTGCTTCCCTGCATTTCTGATGTGCTGCGATACACATGGCTGGTTTTGTACGATTTTGCTTACTCTTCCTGTTGATGGACCAGGCTGAGTAAAGACAGGAATAGAGCTCCAGGGGGCAGAGTGTTTATTCATTAATTATGGTAGGTGATGAGTTTTCCTGTATATGTCAAATTTCTCCAGAAATCATCCCTGATTGAAGCATTTTCACTAAAGATGGTAACGATTACATTACAAGCAAATCATGTACTGTAAAAACACCTAGAGACTTTGATTCACTCCTGTGTACTTTCTCATAGGGCTGCTGTGAAGCAGAAACCATGCAATGCAGAGGTTGCTTGAACACAGTAAGATGCAAATATCAAAAGTTCAAGCCATGTATAAGAGAAGCTATATTCAATCTGATTGAAACAACAATGAAATGCCAGACTTAATGGGGACATAGTCTTAATCATCTGCAAAGGAAAGCCTTGAAGGCACTTAAGAAGAAATACCTGAACATGATGGTTACAGGTCAGAAAGAAGTTGCAAAGGAGCACAAGCCTGCTTTTGTTTCTTAACAAAATGTGGACAGTCTCTAAGGAAAAGTGCATGGATGTTCTCTTAGCTCCAGCCACAACAAATTGATGCTTTGAGCAGGGAACCGGAATACAATCTAGCTGATGGAGAAACACCCACATGCCCCAAGAAACGTTAAGCTTCCTGACCCTAGGAGAGACATTCTTCTTTAAGCAGCAGTTCAACTTTGCAAACCTGTCCTGTTTTAAAGGACTTCAAGCTGGCTGCTTACACCCAATAGATTGTTCCATGGACTCCAAGAAATTAGACAGACAAGATGAAATAGGTAATGCAATAGGCAACCGGGGTATCTCTTGTCGTATGAAGCAGTGAAGATGCTCAATTTGTTAACTGCACTTTTGATCTCCCTATTGTTCATTGTTCAGGGCTACATAATTTCCGTGGTGACGTGGATTATGATTTGTATCTCTACGCTCCATTTTTCGATGTTTTTGTAGAGCCCTATGGATCAGCAGCAGTGCCAAAAGGAGAAGCTGGCTTCTACACCCACTAAGCACTGACAGGCTAGAACAGTAAGTAATTCTCCCCGTTTTCCTTCTGCCAGAGCTGCTGCAATTGGATAGGGGGCTGCATAGGCTGCTGGAGAGGGCATATAGCTGGCAAAAGGCTGAGAACCTGAGTTGCAGGTTGGGACCCAGGACCTATGTGACCCCTGTGAATATGGACGCAGAAGGAGGATCTGGGAACATAGCATCTGGAAACATGCCTGAGGAGTTGATGCTGGGGGCCCTAGGGTCATGCAAGGGCAGATAAAGATTACTATTGCTGATAGCTCATTACTGATAAACGTCTCCTTGGACTGCTATCTTGACAGGGCAGAGATGCTTGCATGGATCAATGACCCTAAAAGCAACACCATCAAGAGTCTTGTATTCCTGGTGAGGTAACCCATGGCAGTAAGGTCAAAGATCAGATGAAGAGCAGTCGAACATAACATCAAGACCTCAACAATGGAGGAGACTGATGCAAAAAACATACTTCTCAATGGCTACGAAGGTGGATGAAGGCTGCAGTAGAAGAGTAACCCCAGTCATCTTAGATTTTCTTGCTACTGGAGGCAGGTTTCTCCTCCACCAAGATGCATGCAGTTGCTGATGTGTAACAGCCTCCTCACATAAAACAACTCATGCGCAGGCTTCTCCCACTGGACCCAACATCTACCACAATAATAACCAGTACCCAAACCTCTATCATCTACAACCCTTTACTTGGCTTATGGGAGTGATCACCCTCAACTGTGAGGAATTGCCAACAATGACTGATAAAGAGATAGGAGACATTTCTGGGTGAACCCCTTCCTCCCCAAACAGGAAAGGAGCAGGTCGTCACAAGGGGGTTCAGATCTGACTACCAGCAAGGGAAGCACCACTGCAACCTCAGAATGCTTTGCAAACATTAGGACCAAGGTGGACCTGGTATTCTGTAAGGATGAAAAAAAATCTCCCCTCTTTACTCCCTGATTCTCATGTGCTCCATCCTTATCAAAATGCCTTTTGTTCCCAGCCTATCACTCCTAGAGTCACCTGCCAGGCCAAGGGGGCAAAGACAAAGGGAGAGAATGACTCTTTCTCCTCCCATCCTATGGCCAGATCTGCAGGATATAGCAACAGATACTCCTGCTGCACATACCATAAAATAATGCTTCCTGTTGCTAATGCTTCATGGTAGAGCTCTGTGGGACAATGGATAACATTCATCCCACGGCACTAATTAGGCCGTGCATCCTTGCAATGGGCAGATTTAAGGTAGCTAATATGAGACCAGAGGTTCTGTGCCTTGCCCAGACCCACAATGTGGGTTTGCCCACATTGTAGTCCCAGCAATGGCTACAGTCTAGTGTAGATATCACACTAGCAGTGTAGCTGTGGCAGTTCAACAAGGCCTAATTGACTCTGCTTCCAGGGAAGGTTTCGCAACTTGCACTGAGCTCTTTATTGCTGCAGCGAGACTGCTCCTGCTATCCACACTAGCTCTTCTAAAGCTAGCTGATACGACTATACTGCATTACGCTACAGACATTCCCAAGACTGCAGGCATGGGTATGCTTAAAGCATGGTAGTGACTCCAGGCTCCAGAAGTGCTGGCTTGATGGTTTCTACTTTAAGTATAAGGCAGATGCATCTCCCAGCTCTTTGAGGTTGGATATGTATAGACATTACATTTAGATGGACTTTACCAGAGTTAGGTTGATCTAAATGCCCAATCATATAGGTGTGCAGAGGGCTTAAACTGTCCCCGAAATGGTGTGCTCGATCTGAGTTAGTTCACCTAAGTAGGTGCACTAACTTTCATTGAGGTTGGGTTAAGCCAATCCAATAAAGGGTTAACCCAACCTAGTGAACACCTTTACACATTTACAGCACAGACTTGGGGCGGGGAGAGCCCAGTTGCTTGTCCCAGTCCCAGTGGTCCACTATTCACACCTTACTGGGCTATTTTTAACCCCCTGTTCCTCCCCCTTGATCAGGCTACCTCCCCCCATGGACCCACCAACTCCCCCCCTCCCCCACAGACCTGCCAGCCCCGCTAGATGCTGCCAAATAATACTCCTCTGGACCTGCCAACTCTCCCTGCAGACCTGCTAGCCTCCTGTTCCCTCCTCAGTCATTTCCACCCCTCCCTCCACCCCAAATTACTTAAATTAGGCTCTCCACATAGCTTCCGGGAGCAGTGAACAGCTGCACACTCTTGATCATGACAGCTGAGAACTGCTGCATGAGGGGGTAGGCAAAGTCCAGCCCGCAGGCTGGATCAGGCCCATGTTGGACTCCATTTCCCAGCAGCCCCTGCCTGCTTTGCTGTGGCAGGGTTCCATGGAGACCCCAGGAGCAGTGGCACCAGGACAGTGCAGGGCCAGGGCTTCCATGGAAACTGGTCCCAGGAGCACTGGCAGGGCATGCAGCTCCAGGGCTGGGATCTTGCAGCTAGACTGCTTCTGCCGGGACCCCTGCCTGGGGCATGTGGGCAGTGGATCGCAGCTCTGCCCTGGCTCCGGACCACGCTGTCACCATTGCAAGATGCCAGCCCCCACCAGAGAGCAACTCCCTGCCCTGCTGCACACCCTTCCAACACTGCTGGGGCCAGTCTCCATGGAAATCCTGGCCCCACCCTGTCACGGCACTGCCACTACTGGGGTCTCCAAGGTAACCCTGGTCCCATGCTGTCACAGCACCGCTGCTACCTGGGTCTCCGTAGAAACCATCTTCAGCGACATGGGCAGGGGCTGCTGGGAAATCAAGTCCAGCCATTAGCCAGATCCACCATTTTGCCCATCCCTCACTAAAAGTAAGCTGCCTAGTCCTACACCAGATGCACTGAACACTTACTTGCATCCATAGAGCGCCAGCCAACTGCATGTGGACACAGGGCTGTTCTAAAATATCTCAAGATGCACAAACACAAATTCCTTTGAAGTTTTGGAGCATGCCGTGTTGTTTTAACCTTACAAGAGGTGACAATAAAGCCCCCTGAAGGAAGCTGAATGTGAACCGAGCAGGGAGGAAACTGAGAGCTAAAAGAAGGGACATTTTCTTGGCGTTCCAGGAACAAACCAAACAAAACACGGGGGGGGGGGGAAGAACGGGCTGCCAAGACTTATCAAACTGCCCTGCTTTCAGAGACAAGCAAACTGCTTGAGACAAAGCTTCAAGTGGAACGCGTTGGATGTCAAAAGCACCCCGAGCAATATTGCTACATTCCCAAACCCATCGCTGCCAATCAGACCTTCGCTGTCAGATAAATAATACAGGAGGCCAGAGAATTCAGACAAGAATGTATCAAACTGTTGTGAATTTCCAAGATGCTCAGACAGAATTCAGTGGTTACCAGGTTTTGTATTTTGAACCTGAGCAGAAAGCGTAAGAATTTTTTAACTGTTCTGGCCCTGTCCATGTAGTCATCCCTACGCACCCTGTAGCAGAGATAATATCCACCCACCAGTGGTGTCATGGTGAGAAAATGTGGTGTGATACTAACATGAAAGGGATGGAGCTTGACTGGGTATTTATCATGTCTCGGTCATTCTTGTTTGTTATACAAGATGTGCCGGCAGAAAACTCAGACAGCTGTAAACTCTGCTTTTCAGCGCCTTGAGGATATTGCAAAGCTCATTCATTAATCGTATTAAGGTGTGAACACCTCATAATACTGAAAGGAGGAGAAGTCGTGTGAATCAGTCTGGCCAGAAAACAACAATTCTGCTTCATAAAAAATGTGGAGGTTTCAAGATTCATTTGCTTCTGATGCCGGATGAAAACAGGACCTGTCCCTGTGTTACTATGCAAACATTTCTGAAGAGGGAAAAGCCACAGAGGAGGCAGTTGTTTACTCAGAAACCAGATTCAAGTCCCTCTCCAGTTGCTTTAGAGCAGACCTATGTTTCCTACCCTGATTTAGAGCAAACCTATGTTTCCTATAGTTGAACTCAAGGCCCCTAACCACTTGGCTCCAGGAACAAGTGCTCTTGTTGGTGGTGTTCTGCTTTGTATAAATTATTGAATAAACATTAAGCCAAAAGGCTGTGCGTAGTTCAACTCAGCCAGCAAAGAGAGTGATTTTTCCAAATCGCTTTTTTTTCTGTCTTATTTTCACTGAAAAGTCCATCTTAGACCTGAGCTTTTTCAGACTGCAGCATACGGAGTGGGAATACTGTGCTTTTGCAGTGGTGCTCTCAAGCATGGTCAGTGCCAGTACATACATGCCAGGAAAATCAAATTGTAGCTTCAGTTATATAGGATTAACCCCTGCCAAAGTCAGTGCAAGTTGCTCAGGCATGGATGAGGGTAGTCTTTTTTTTGCTAAAGTTGGGCAATCATGAAAAAGTGTAGTATGTCAAGCAATATCTGATATCTCAAATGTCACCTAGCTGCTTTCACTTTTCCAGGCAGCTCCAGTGGCCTGATGGTTTCTGAATCAGAAATCCAAAAGAAAGTTTATGACTAAAAATCTCTCAGCCTTTTTCCCCTGCATGGGGCTAGTCCAAAGTATTTCACATGATACTGCAATTACATTTAATGCCTGTTGCTGTCATTTCATAAAGGCACCTTATTCATTCCTACACTGAAACTGGAGAGAACTAGTTTCTAAGCTTGGAAACTTATAGGCAATACCCTAGATCAGATCTTGTGAAATAATTCAGTAGAGATCTACTGATGTTGGCAGTGCCATGTGTGTTTATACTATCTGGCCAATGGGTTATGACTGAAGTCAATGAAGCTATGCACAAGTGAAATTAGGAGGAAGACTGTTATCTGTAGCTGGTA